ATCCTCCTCTCTATAATTACCACCACCAGGGGGAAAGCAATAGGCTACGCAGGCGCTGCTTGGCGCCGCAGCGAGGCAGGGCGTCAGCGCCGGGCGTTAGCGCCACTCTCTGACTCATCCATCAAACACCAGCTTGAGGCTGCTTGAGGCGCCGCGGAACTCCGATAAGGTCTCCGGTCTTTACCTTTGTGCCGACGGCTGCCTGTCTCTACCTACCACCGCCCGTCCGGACGCTGCACTGCACATCCGACTTCTAAATCAAATAGTTTTACTTATTCTCTGTCGCCGAGCCAACAAAGTTGCGGGGAACAATCATCCGTCATCCGCGCCATCTGTCTCCCTAGATTTTATGAGCGGGCAGAGTGCACACTCAACCATTTGGTGGTAAAATCGCATAACGGGGCGCAATTAACTCGCAAGAAAAACCAACATTAGTCGCCTGCAAGCCGCCAGGTAGGCCATCCCGCACTACACCGAAGCGTACTGAATTGATGTGGCCTACCCACCAGGCGACGTGAGCGTCGATACCGACTGAGGTGCCTGACAATAGTGCGAACGTGACAAACTGCTTTACCCTCTCTGACTTTGACGCGTCTCCTCCCCCAATACGTTCAGCAAGGTACCCACCTGAGGTACCTGAGAGGGCTGAGGCTGCTTCCTGCTTCTCTCCGTTGCTTCCTGAGCCAATGTGTGCATATTTCTATCACACTCAGTACACTGAAAATCCGATGGAAATCCGAAAATAACTAGTAGCACACCTGCAACTGAGCAAAACAACAATTAGCTCATCTGCAAGTGAGCAATGAAGAAATCGCTCACATTGAATGACATTGGGATGTGAATGAGTACCTGTTGACAGTTAAAATTTAAAATGTTTGTTCCGTTGGAACTCCATAACACATCTGACCATCTGACACATTGCATCAGTGTAGGTTGTTTGTAATACATCTCTTATCCACTGTAAAAGAGGCACAAGTGGATAGCCTTTCCTTCAATGCCACACTGACTGACTCACACCAAAATTCTGAAATAGACTGTTCAGAGTGCAAAATGTCAGGCACCATTTAAACAATTTTTGCAGAGTACGAGAGTGTTTGCAAATCCAGGCGCCAGCTTCCCTGGACTACAGGTAAACACTTACTTGAGTACAGTAATCCATGGCGCTGAGCTCCTAACCTCAACATTGCTGATATTTCCAGGAGGACTTCGGTATAGAAAAAACATATCAGTTTTCCACAGAGAATGAAGGAAAGCGTTCAGGAGATAATGATCCACCAGCAGCGTCTTCTGACACTGAAGTGTTCGACAAGAAAACATTGTTTTAGAAGTTTGATCAAACTGTGTAACGAATCGTGTGGTCCAGGTGTGGACGCCATGTTGTTGAACTGACTGATATTTTCTTTGCAAGGCGGTGGAGGGAGGGGGAAAGGGAGGGGGAGTAACGTTGGCGCTGTACTGTTCTATGGCGGGGCGATTGTGAAACTCGGAACATATTGACTCACCTTACGACACAATTTTTGAATCTCGTGCTTTGCTTTGTGTCAATGACGGTTCGCATCCTGGTCTAGGCAGGCGTGTCGCCGTCCTCCGCGTGCCGTGGCAGTGCTGCTCGAACGCAATGGTGTTAACGCCACACAGGGGGGCGAAGCCGACCACCGATGGGCCTGTCACAGTGAAACAGAGGGAGGATAGTGTTGTGTTCTTACGCCAGACCAGCAGAGGAGGCCCGACCTCACGCCGCGCCGCAGCAGCTTCAGCTCACCGTGTGCACCGAATGATCAGCGCCGCTTGGCCCCCGTGCGCGGAGCCCGGTGCGGTTTGCATACGCCACAGTCACTATACTTGCAACACGTTTGCTTTGCTCTTCCGTCTCCGCTCGCAACCCGCGGCGCGGCAGCAGTCAGTCTGTCGCCGCCGGGGTCGCCGACGTCGTGTCGAGGCGCGGCGTGGCGCGGCGATCGGTACGGGTCTGTGCCTGTGGGACCCGCGCGGTGGTGGCGGCCGGGACCACCTACCGACTGATACCCACCCCGCGCGCAACGATTGCGAAACGAAACGGTCGGGGGGAGGAAAGGAGGGAGGGAGACACAACGAAACATTACCAACTGCGGCAGATGCGCGGGCGCCGCGAAAAGAGCGCATTTTGTGAAATGCGTTGTTAATCAATACGATGCGATGGTAACATCAGTTTCCATATACTTCCTGCTAAAAAAAATACATTCCGGTAAAATCTGAAATCACGTTCTCTATCAATATTTCCTGGTTGCATCCTCATTCGGAAGAGAAATGACGCATTATAAATTTCGCGCCTCAAATCACCTCTCCAGCCGTCATCTCCAGGGGCCAGCGCCAGCCGAGTCGGCGCTGCTGACCCAGCAGCCTCCACCAGCGACGACGACGTGCCGCCCCCGTTCGCCTTCCGGCCGGCCCAGTGGCCAGTCGGCCACGTGACCCCGGGCCGG